GGGAGGAGACGTGACAGGAGCAGGTTTTCATCAAGGATCTCTCAGTACTTTGCTCCGTTCATCTTTGCCTCGATCCTGACTAGTCTCCCAGTCCATGCTGCTGAAAAACATCCCCACAGCTTGATGCTGCCACCACCATGCTTCACCGTAGGGATGGTGACAGGGTTCCTCCAGACGTGACGCTTGGCATTCAGGCCAAAGAGTTCAATCTTGGTTTTATCAGACCAGAGAATCTTGTTTCTCATGGTCTGAGAGTATTTAGGTGCCTTTTGGCAAACTCCAAGTGGGCTGTCATGTGCCTTTTACTGAGGAGTGGCTTCCATCTGGCCACTCTACCATAAAGGCCTGACTGATGGAGTGCTGCAGAGATGGATGTCCATCTGGAAGGCTCTCCCAATCTCCACAGAGGAACTCTAGAGCTCTGTCAGAGTTACCATCGGGTTCTTGGTCACCTCCCTGACCAAGGCCCTTCTCCCCCGATTTCTCAGTTTGGCCGGGCGGCCAGCTCTAGGAACAGTCTTGGTGGTTCCAAACTTCTTCCATTTAAGAATGATGGAGGCCACTGTGTTCTTGAGGACCTTCAATGCTGCAGACATTTTTTGGTACCCTTCCCCAGATCTGTGCCTTGACACAATCCTGTCTTGGAGCTCTACGGACAATTCCTTTGACCTCAAAGCTTGGTTTTTGCTCTGACGTGCACTGTAAACTGAGGGACCTTATATAGACGGGTGTGTACCTTTCCAAATCATGTCCAATCAGTTGGACTCCAATCAAGTTGTAGAAACATCTGAAGGATGATCAATGGAAACAGGATGCACCTGTGCTCAATTTCGTGTCTCATATCAAAGGGTCTGAATACTTATGTAAATAAGGTATTTCTGTTTTTTATTTTTAATACATTTGCAAACATTTCTACCAACCTGTTTTCACTTTGTCATTATGGGGTATTGTGTGTAGTTTGCTGAGTATTTGTATTTATTTAATTAATTTTAGAATAAGGCTGTAATGTAACAAAATGTGGAAAAAGTCAAAGGGTCTGAATACCTTACGAAGGCACTTTAGCTAACAGTGAGTTTCCTACACAGTGTAGCCTAGTCTACACAGCAATAGCTACTGTTTACTGCACATGGTATAAGTGCGAAGTGACTTGCCGTGAACCCGGCTATTATTTAGAAATTGATAAGCCAAATTTGTTTTATTTTTTATAATCAAGCATAATTCAAATTCATCACATTGGCCTAAATAAAATAGATTTTATGTACAGCACTAGATTTTATGTAAGATGTCCTTGATTGTCCTGAAAGGCATCTGCCAAATAAAATGTATTATTATTATTATTATTATTATTGTCAATACACCACCCATTCACGAAAATGGTTTGCTCCGAAAGTCACGTGGCCTTGGCTTGCTATATAAAGCCGACAGACAGGCATCGAAGCATTCAGTTACTGTTCTATTGAACGTTAGAATGGGCAAAACGATTGACCTAAGCAACTTTGAGCGTGGTATGATTGACGGTGCCAGGCACGCCGGTTCCAGTATTTCAGAAACGGTCGGCTTCCTGGGCTTTTCATGCACGACAGTGTCTAGGGTTTACCGAGAATGGTGCGACAAACTAAAAACTTCTAGTCCTGTGGATGAAAACAGCTCGTTGATGAGAGGTCAAAGGAGAATGGCAAGAATTGCGCAAGCTAACAGGAGGGCCACAAACAGGCAAATAATGCTGCAGTACAACAGTACAACGTCGGTCCTTGTCATGGGCTATTGCAGCAGACAACCACACCGGGTTCCACTCCTATCAGCTAAAAACAAGAAGAAGCGGCTCCAGTGGGCACGCGATCACCAACACTGTACAATTGAGGAGTTCGACGAATCCCGGTTCCTGTTGCGTGATGCTGATGGCAGAGTCAGGATTTGAAATCAAATCAAATCAAATCAAATTGTATTTGTCACATGCGCCGAATACAACAGTGAAATGCTTACTTACAAGCCCTTAACCAACAACGCAGTTTTAAGAAAGAATACCCCAAAAAATCACACAAAAAAATACAATATAAAATAATACGAAAAAGCAGCAGTAAAACTAACAATAACGAAGCTATATACAGGGGGTATATGGCGTCAGCAGCATGAGTCCTTGGCCCCATCCTGCCTGGTGTCAATGGTACATGCTGGTGGCGGTGGTGTAATGGTGTGGGGAATGTTTTCCTGGCACACATTAGGTCCCTTGATACCAATTGAGCAACGTTTCCATGCCCTGAAGAATTTGGAGGCAAAGGGGGTTCCGACCTGGTCCTAGATGGGTGTACATAATAAACTGGCCACTGAGTGTAAATCCCTTTAGTTTACACACCCTCTCCCTACTGCTAGCTATGAATTCCATCCGATGGTGTGTGCATGTTTAGGCCAGTGCTTGACTTGACTTGGACTGAAATAGGTGCTGGTACTCATTTTGGGTGCCGGTACCGTTTATATTTAGGTGCAGGAATTCCTCAATACTTTTGAGCTAATATTCTATAAGAGGTTCAGGAACTCAAGCAGAAGAAAATTTTAGGTGCCGGTACTCAGTTCCGGTGAGCTCTTGCCCAAGTCAAGTACTGTGTTTAGGTAAAAATACAAATAATGTTTTGTTTGGAACACTGACAAGTAGAGACATTAAAAAATATATATACTGTATATATTTTTTTTTGCACAATCTGATTGGGTGGGCCTGGCTCCCCAGTGGGTGGGCCTGCGCCCACCCAAGCTCACCCGTGCCTACGCCCCTGGTTTGAATGTTTTTTAATGGCTGCCGAACTGTCTCTTTGCTCTGTTGACAGGACCAATACAGGTAGACAACTCACTCAGACAACTCACTCAACAGGTCAAACTTAACCGACCTGACCTCTGACCTCCACCCAGAAAAATAGACCCACTCCCTCTAACCATTTGAAACACAAAATCATATGAGAGGGAGCGAACACAGCAGACATGAAAAAGATTTATATCGGCAAAACGGCGCTAAAAGTCTCCCGAAATGGCAGTAAACATCAGAAAAAGAGGTAAGAAAGAACGCTTCAGAAGCTATTCATCCCTCCATCTCTCCATCTGCCCACTGGGGTCATTTCATCCTCCCCATCTTTGTCAAGTGGTCGTTAACAACTCGAACGTCCATCCTCCTAACAGAATCATTATCCCACCTCATTGTTTTCTCACCGCCGACCGCTATTCTAAATGAAAACACTCATTACCGTGTGACTCAGCTGCCGTTTCCAGAGGTCACTAATGTGTGATTCCCATTGGGAGATTGGCTTGATAAACTCATTCTCTTGTCATGTAACCAACACCTGTGGTGTGCCGTGCATCGTGTTGCCAGTACCTGGTAAGGCAATTGTTATAGCATGAAAAGCATTCAAACTGTGCCCCAAAAAACATTTGAGTAACCATTGGTTACAGAATGGGATGATAATCAAATATTAGGGTATTGTTATTCCATTTAATCATAAATGTGTTAGGTGTGAGACTTAGAGCAAGTAGGATGGTGACTAGAGATGAGTAATGCTAAACATAGGAGGGAATAACGGTATTATCACTCCACTTACTTATTTCTTTTTTTTATCTCAGAACCAATAGCTTAGTTTTCACTCATATAATTAAGAGCATGCTCTGCTTGCTTTGATGGGAATCTGAAGCTTTGTTGCATGTGTATCATGGGCTTTGGTGGTTGTGTTTTTCTGTGTGCTGTAGGAGTGTGTGTGTGTGTGTTTGGAATGTGGATTGGAGCATTTGTGTGTATGTGTTTGCATCATTCTGGTGAATTCAGTCATTTTATTCAGTTTAATTCAAGATACTATCTCCATGATAAAAATAATAATAAAATGGATTGCCCATTAATTTAGGGACTTCACCTTCATTTTCATCCTCTTACGTTCACTTGGCCTCTACCAGCAACCTCCTCCTTCTATGATCTTGTTAAGGAGATAGAGGGATGAGAGCGTGGTGACCACATCTCTCACCTTTCTCTCCTTCTCATCCATTTCACTCCCTCTCTCTCTCTCTTTGTCTCTCTCACTCGCTCTCTCTCTCTCTTTCTCTCTCTCTCACACTCTCGCTCTCTCTCTCTCTTCCTCTCTCTCTCTCTCTCTCTCTTCCTCTCTCTCTCTCTCTCTCTCTCTCTCTCTCTCTCTCTCTCTCTCTCTCTCTCTCTCTCTCTCTCTCTCTCTGTCTCTCTCTCTCTCTCTCTATCCCTCTCGCCCTCTGTTATCGGTGATCTCCCTGCAGATAGAGTCATTACCATACTTCCTCAATCTGTCCATCAAAACAGGCCCATTAGCCTGCCAAGGAAATTCAGACCCATCAAAGGGGAGAGGATGCATTTATTTTTACCTCTCACACCTACTCGTTATTAGATTGGGTCTCAGGTAGTGCTGGGGCTTTATAAATAGTCCACATTGTGCTGTCTTGTTGAATTACACATGGGATATCACTACTCAGTGAATTACACATGGGATATCACTACTCAGTGAATTACACATGGGATATCACTATTCAGTTAATTACACATGGGATATCACTATACAGTGAATCCAAGCCGTCAAAATCGTTTTCCTGTGATAGATTACAGCTCATAGAGCCATATTTCATCGTAGGTTACATCCCAAAAGGCACCCTATTCTCTGTAGTGCACTACTTTTGACAGGAGCCTTCTGGATAAAAGTAGTGGACTATATAGGGAATAAGGTGCCATTTGTGACGAAGCCTTAGTTTAAAGTGATCCTGTAAGTCACTGTAACCACTCTGGCTGGTTATGGTGGTGGTGTTCTTCTGTGCTATGCAGCAAGGTTGTGTCGTTTTAGGTATTAGAGCTGAATGTTAATCGGAAGCCAAAAGCAGGCAGACCTTTCTATACTTTAGCTGCATATAGAATATATGATTTGGGACTCATAATGTTTTCATTACCACTGTATGATGCACATTGTTCATGGGTCACCACACAATACTCCCATTACATCTTATTTATACTCAATGTAACATATAATATATATGCATGTAATATAACATGAAGTTACCCCAGTAATATGCTACTTCAACTATGTCTGATACGTGTTTTTGTCCCTCACAGCTCTTTGCAGGAACAGAAAGAGGACCTCCGGAAGCATCTGTCCTACACCACCCACAAGCTGGAGCTGCTAGAGAGCGAGTTTGACTCCACGCGCCAGTACCTGGAGACAGAGCTACGCCGTGCCCAGGAGGAACTCGACAAGTTTACAGACAAACTACGCAGGTTTGCCAAACCACATAATCACACCTTAATCACATTCTATTGATTTTGTGTTTATACAGTATGTCTGGAAATATACCAGACTGGATAAATATACCAGACAGGATAAATATACCAGACAGGATAAATATACCAGACAGGATAAATATACCAGACTGGATAAATATACCAGACTGGATGCATATCAAGGTAAAGCCCTACAACTAACACAGGATACCTATCAAGGTAAAGCCCTAAAACTAACACAGGATGGATATCAAGGTAAAGCCCTAAAACGAACACAGGATGCATATCAAGGTAAATCCCTAAAACTAACACAGGATGCATATCAAGGTAAAGCCCTAAAACTAACACAGGATACCTATCAAGGTAAAGCCCAAAAACTAACACTGGATAGATAGTCCCCTGTAGCTCAGTTGGTAGAGCATGGCGCTTGCAAAGCCAGGGTTGTGGGTTCGTTTCCCACGGTGGGCCAGTATGAAAATGTATGCACTCACTAACTGTAAGTCGCTCTGGATAAGAGCATCTGCTAAATGACTAAAATGTAAATGTAAAGCCCAAAAACTAACACTGGATACATATCAAGGTAAAGCCCTAAAATAAACACAGGACTACATTATCATGACGGATACATAGCATAGACATCATTAATCCAATGGGTGCTAAAAGTGTTCAATTATTAATAGTGTGAGTTGGTAAGCCGGTGTCATTGTTTGTCTTCTGGTAGAATACAAAGCAGCTACTCAGCACTGCAGAGGATCAACCAGGACCTGGAGGATAAGATCCATAGAAATGTAAGTGAAGTGTGTGCATGCGCATAAGTGCATACATGTTTGTGTACACCTGTAGTTGTGTGTGTCCATGCACACTTGTCTAAGCAAGCAGTGGTCGTTACTCTTTAGGAAAGGCAGTGAAAAGCACAGAACAGTGGATTTGAATATGAATACACAAGCTGTTGGTACCACTGACGTTAATTACAGCCTATTTCAATGGGCTGTCCTCCTTCCTGTGGCAGTAGCATAGCGAGCCCATTGTTCTGAGCTAGCCTTGCGACTTACATCTTTTGTCAGATGGCAAAAGAAAGGATACAATTAACAAGCCTGCCATTCCAGCATTGTATGATCATCATGTGTCTTCTTCCTCGCTATGAATAGACAGCTGAATATGTCCCTCTCTGAATGTGTTAAGCAAAAGATAATCATGATCACAAAGAGCTGGAACATTAAGACGGCGCAGGCTGATAGCGAGGAGGAGTGGAGAGGGTCTTCGTTTCATGGAACGTAGAGGGACTGAATAATTTATCAAAACGCATACGTCTTTTTATATTGGATGTCAAGCTGTGAATCCTTATCATTTGTATGTCTATTCAGCTCAGATGCTCCCTCTTCAGGGGTTATCAAGTTGATGATGTAGTTATCGTCAGTAGATCATTCACTCACTTTTTTACACATCACAAACTACCGATCTGAGTTTAATACAGTTCGGAAAAAGACAAAAAACAAAAACGTATTACATTTATTAACATTTTCAAACAAAATCAAACCTACATAGAATACAATAGAAAGGCACACACAAATTCCAACAAACATCAATGACATCACACCTGCTCAAAACCACATGTTCCCACCGCATCCATACCCATCCTATTTGTCTCACTCCAACATTTACTCTCATTCTTCATACCTTGGGTGTTTCCAGTGCTTGTAACACTCTATGCCATATGGCCTCAAATTGAGCTATTCTATTTCTCTCTGTAGCCCACACTTTTTCAATATTGAAATAATTTTCAGTTGCAAGGATTTGTATATCTTACCTATCACATTAGTATCCTTTTCTGACTTTAATAGGATTCCCTCAACATTGCTCGGATGTCCAAAAGATATCAAATCAACATTTTGTGATGTTTTCCCATTTCAAGAGCGTTAAATATTTATTTACTATAGTAAGTGCCTATTAAGTGCCAAATAAAGTAACAGGGTTGACCATAACAGGGTTGACCGTAACAGGGTTGACCATAACAGGGTTGACCGTAACAGGGTTGACCATAACAGGGTTGACGATTTCCTCCTAAATCAGCCATAAAATCCCTTCTGTTTTGTGTTCAACAGGGAGGGACAATTGAATGCAAGCTTCACCATTTTTTGTATTATTGTTAAAACACTTTGAACCTGTCTATGGGTGACAGGGTTGACGTGTTATGCTCGACCCACTCAGTTTTCCACCACAAAACACCAGAACATTGGCCAAAATAGTAGAACCAGCTCAACTGCTTTTACACTATTATTTGACTATAAGATGTTAAATGTTTCTTTTGAAACAAATATTTAAAAATGAATAGTTTCACCATATTAAAACGGGAGTTCGGTTCACGGAAAAAGGTTGACCTTAAAATGAGGGACAGGTTGTTGTTATTTAACCTTAAAATCAATCACTAATCACATGAAATAAATAATAATCTTCAGAAATGACTAGGGCTTTACAATGATAGTGAAAACTTGAGAAATGACTGGGGCTTTACAATGATGGTGAAAAATTTGAGAAATGTTGGGGTTCAATGGGTTAAAATCTTCTGAGCAGTCACAGAGAGTGTAAGGATGCTGTCATGAATTTGGGCACAGATATTTTTGAATTTTCCATGTGGTCTATATTAAAGAGATTCTCAGGTACTTTTGTATATTTTTTAGCCAGTAGTTCTGAAAGTAGCGCTCACAAGCTAAAAATGGTCACCAAAAATTGTGTACTACGTCACATGTGCAGATATGTGCACCATGTCATTACTCTCTCTTGCTCTGCTGTGTGTGCATCTTGCTACCTGTCACTCAAATGGGGAGGGGCTGAAGTTCATTGGCTAGAACTCGAATTGCTAGGGGACTGACAGAGGCCCACAGCATTCAGAAAAACAGTCGCTTTCAAACTAGTGATTTCTTGGCTAATTGAGGTAAGAAAGTAATTCTGGTGATATATTGTACATGTATGAACTACACATTGACACATCCAGCCCAAAGTGGGAGGTTTAAAAATAGTTATTGGGAGCATGGCTTTAAATGGCACTTCATTTAATATAACATGCTTGTATTATTTGTGGACAATTTCTACTTAAAATATCAGAGGGACGCAAAGGGACTCATTTCGTGGAATGACCCAACAAAGCATTTACATAACATTTTATGCACTTACTCAATAAACACTTTGCGGCCTCTGGTAAAAATTAGGTAAAGTAGGGGGGCAATAGGAAAGCATGCTTGAAGTACACTCTTAAAAAGAAAAGGGTTCCAAAGCATTCTTCGGCTGTACCCATAGGAGAACCCTTTTTGGTTCCAGGTAGAACCCTTTTGGTTTCCATGTAGAACCCTCTATGGAAATAGTTCTACATAGAACCGAAACAGGTTCTACCTGGAACCAAAATGGTTCTACCTGGAACGAAAAAGGGTTCTTCAAAGGGTTCTCCTATGGGGACAGCCGAAGAACCCTTTTAGGTTCTAGATAGAACCATTTTTGCTAAGAGTGTAGCTCAACAAAACAATATTTAGGCTACAGTGTGAGACGGTTCCACTAAATAAAGGTATTGTTTGTTATATAAGATTTGACCGGAATGTCCCAGGGAGAAACCTCCACACATAATCTACAGTTTGGTTAATCTTCCACCGTTACTATCATAATAATAAAATAATGGAATCACATATCATCCAAATAACTATCATCCACTTTCACGTTCAGATTCCTGACATCCTTCATGATGGTCACATTCCTCTTCCCTTCGGCCTCATCTGTAGAGTCAGGAAGTTCTGTTCTCCGGGTCTCAGGAAGACCAGAGTTCCAGCAGTCAATGACAGGCTGCTGAACACTATAGTAGGGATGGACCAGTGGTACATGGCCGAAACGCTATTGACCCCAAGCCAGTGGCTGTTTGCCTGACAGACGTGGGTAACAGCTCCTGAATGTAGACCATGCAAACCGAACCAGCCCAGTTCCTGAAGAACCTTCCAGTGGTCGCAAGAGCAGTAATAGAAACGGCACTGTCTTGTGGGACAGTGAGGGTGAGCAGACAGACAAACACAAGGGTGGATATCAGGGATATTTTTCTCCCCAAAACTTCCAAGAACCAAATACAGAGAAAGTGAGCTGGTGTTTCTGTGAGTCTGAACATCAGCTGTACCAGAAAGATGTCCAAGCCAAATGTCCCAACATTTAGAGAGAGGCAGAAGGTTCAATGCAAACCATCCAAATGATAAAATAAGGAAATATTTTCTTCATGTGAAGTAAATAGGACTTTGATGCCTCATTTATGTATTTTCCTCACCTCAGTCACCTCCAGTAGAGTATTTGGAACTGTGCGTTTGTTGATCGCTGCAACTCTAAGAATCAACTCGTTAGCTTCTTTAGTTTTCCCCCGACCAAGTTACCACCTTTGTCACACCCTGACCTTTAAATGCCTGTTGTTTCTCGTTGGTTTGGTCAGGGTGTGAATTTCTATGTGTATATCTATGTTATTGTATTTCTATGTTGGCCGGGTGTGGTTCCCAATTAGAGGCAGCTGTCGATCGTTGTCTCTGATTGGGGATCATACTTAGGCAGCCATTTTGTCTACCTTAATTGTGGGATCTTGACTCTTGTTTTGGCTTGTTTGTGTATAGCCATTGTGAGCTTCACGTTACGTTGCTTTTGTTGTTTTTGTCGAGTGTTTATTCGTTCTAATGAACATGTACTCATACCACGCTGCACCTTGGTCCAATCCTGTACTCAACGAACGTGACAAAAGATCCCACCACCAACGGACCAAGCAGCGTGGCCCGGAAAAGCAAGAAACCTGGACATGGGAGGAGATACTGGAAGGAAAAGGATCATGGACATGGGAGGAGATCCAGGAAGGTATGGATCGCCTTCCTTGGGAGCAAACAGAGGCAGCGAGGGAGAAAAGACGGCGACTCCAAAATGCGAATCGACGAAGGAGACCCGAGAGGCAACCCCAAGAAAACATTTTGGGGGGCACACGGGGTGGTCGACAAAGCAGCAGGAGGCCGTGAAAGGGCTGACTGTATAGGAGGAGGCCGCTATTTTAGAGGTCCTCCAAGACCTGCAGATCAGCAGTTTAAGAGAGGAGGCCACCACATTATGGGGGCTGATGGCGAGGTTAGAGCAGGAGAGCTCCCTTCAAGAGGAGGCGCTGCAGGAGGCCCGTAGGGAGAAGGAAGTAGTGGATGCACGGAGAGAGGAGCTGGTCAGGCAACAAAAGGAGCGTGTGTTCATTGAGGAACCAAGGTATGCGGAGATACGCACTGTTTCGCCAGTGCGCATTCACAGCCCAGTGCGTCCTGTGCCAGCGCCCCGCATGTGTCGTGCGAAAGTGGGCCTCCAGCCAGGACGGGTTGTGCCGGCTCAACGCTCCTGGTCTCCAGTGCGCCTCCTCGGTCCAGTATATCCTGCGGCAGTCCTACGCACTGTGTCGCCAGTGTGCGTTCACAGCCCAGTGCGTCCTGTGCCAGCGCCCCGCACGTGTCATGCGAAAGTGGGCCTCCAGCCAGGATGGGTTGTGCCAGCTTTACACTCCAGACCTCTAATACGCCTCCACGGTCCAGTATATCCTGCTCCGGTTCTACGCACTGTGTCACCAGTGCGCCTCCCCAGCCTGGTACGCCCCGTACCTACTCCCCGCACCAAACCAGTGGTGCGTGTCGCCAGCCCGGTACGCCCCGTACCTGCTCTCCGCACCAAACCAGTGGTGCGTGTATCCAGTCCGGTACGGCCCGTGCCTGCTCCTCGCACCAAACCAGTGGTGCGTGTCTCCAGTCCGGCACGGCCCGTGCCTGCTCCTCGCACCAGACCAGCGGTGCGTGTTCCCAGCCCGGTGCGGCCCATGCCTGTTCCTCGCACCAGACCAGTGGTGCGTGTCCCCAGCCCGGTACGGCTGGTGCCAGAGCAGTCCGCTCCACCGGTGCCTAGTCCAGTTCCGGTCAGCTGCTCCACTCCAGTGCCAGAGCAGTCCGCTCCACCGGTGCCCAGTCCAGCTCCGGTCAGCTGCTCCACTCCAGTGCCAGAGCAGTCCACTCCACCAGTGCCAAGTCCAGCTCCGGTCAGCTGCTCCACTCCAGTCGGTGCCCATTCCAGCTCCGGTCAGCTGCTCCACTCCAGTGCCAGAGCAGTCCGCTACACCGGTGCCCAGTCCAGCTCCGGTCAGCTGCTCCACTCCAGTGCCAGAGCAGTCCGCTCCACCGGGGCCCAGTCCAGCTCTGGTCAGCTGCTCCAGTCCAGAGCCAGAGCAGTCCGCTCTACCGGTGCCTAGTCCATTCCCGGTCAGCTGCTCCAGTCCAGAGCCAGAGCAGACCGTTCCACCGGGGTCCAGTTCAGCTCCGGTCAGCGGCTCCACTCCAGAACCAGACGTCAACCTCCCACACTAGGATCCAGACAGGGCTTGGTGCATCGCGGGGGGATTGCCGGTCCAGGCCCAGACATCGGCCCCTCTCCAGGGTCGGGGCCTCCCACACCAGGGTCCAGACAGGGCTTGGTGCATCGTGGGAGGACTGAGAGGGGAAGCATCGCGCCGAGGTCCAGACCGGACCAGGGGTGCAACGGGGAGGCAGTAAGGGAGAGGACGTCACGTCACGCCCGGAGCCAGAGCCGCCACCGAGGCTAGATGCCCACCCGGACCCTCCCCTGTTAAGTTAGGTTTTGCGGCCGGAGTCCGCACCTTTTGGGGGGGGTACTGTCATGCCCTGACCTTTAAATGCCTGTTGTTTCTCGTTGGTTTGGTCAGGGTGTGAATTTCTATGTGTATATCTATGATATTGTATTTCTATGTTGGCCGGGTGTGGTTCCCAATCAGAGGCAGCTGTCGATCGTTGTCTCTGATTGGGGATCATACTTAGGCAGCCATTTTGTCTACCTTAGTTGTGGGATCTTGACTCTTGTTTTGGCTTGTTTGTGTATAGCCATTGTGAGCTTCACGTTACGTTGCTTTTGTTGTTTTTGTTGAGTGTTTATTCGTTCTAATAAACATGTACGCATACCACGCTGCACCTTGGTCCAATCCTGTACTCAACGAGCGTGACAACCTTGCTGATTCCGGAATAAACCATATGTAAATGAGAAACAGTGCCTGTTGTGCCACCATCACATAATGGGCCATTCTTCAGTCCCAGATGAGGCACACTAAACCAGCCAGGACACATTGTCCAACACCAGCAAACATCTGGTTTAGACAGGAGGCAAAGGATCGCCTGGTCATTCCAATCCATTCAGTGGCTAATATAGTGCTGTTGATCTGATATCCTCCTAGTGCAGCCGCTAGTATAAACTGGCATACCAGGTACACATACAGGTTTGCAGACAGGCCTGTCTTCACAGTAAACATGTGCATGAGAAGCACTGGTAGGTGAACCATGAACACAGTTTGTGCGACTACGACTAAATGAACTTTTCTCCCCAACCCGATCAAAATTAGTGACTATGGTGGTTTTGTACAGTATCTTGTTGTAGACCCATCCCTTCTGGCACTCAGTGGTTTGATTGAGTCCATTCTCCCTGACGGTGTTAATGTCCCAGGCCACTTGATCAACTATCAGACACCTAATGAAGGCTCCATGCTGCTCCCGGGGCACGGTCAGATTCAGCTGTTCCTCACTGCTCAGATTAGCACCAGCTCTAAGGATCCAGTCAGTGTTACAGTGGCGCTCAGGGTCTGTCTGGACAAAAAGAAAACTAGCGAATAGGACTGGGAGGATGAGGTTCGGCAGACATAGTCCAAACAGTATAAGCTTCTGGAACAATCCAAAGTCTCCAACGTTAATCAGCATATCGCCAAATTCAACCATCTTGATTCCAGGGAGTGCCAGAGATTCCTAGGACGTGGCAAGGTTATTCTGCATCAGTCAGAAGCCCCAGACAGTTCATTGGTACAATATAGAAGCCACTACTGTAGATGACGCAACTTAATGTCTAACTACTGGACAATCTTCAACTGGTATGTGGATAATTCATTATTGGGGGAACAGCTGCACACAATGCCAAGTTAAGGCAGGGGCTGTCTTGGTGAGCTTTCACCTAGTTGAGTATTTTTTTGTAAAACTTTTTCAGAGGTACAATCCGTCATGGTGAAGCCTGTAGCTGTAATTTCTGATACGTTGACTTGGTGAAGCCTGTAGCTGTAATTTCTGATACGGTTGACTTGGTGAAGCCTGTAGCTGTAATTCTGATAAGAACACTCAAAGCCACAGAGCTTTGGGGTACAGGTAGTCATGTGAGGTAGTCATGTGAGAATACAAAGGCTAATAGCACCAGAGGCTAAACAGCATGGTATAATAGCCCTGGTGGCAAACATCAGCTAAAAGCATGATGGCAAGAAAGGCCTGATGGCTAAAAGGCAAATTCTTCTTCTGAGTCTCAAGATTATATAGTCATTCTGAATTGCACATACATGCATCATTACAGATGTTGGTAGATTCATTAAATAGTACCCGCAAAACACCAGTCTCAACGTCAACAGTGAAGAGGCGACTCCGGGATGCTGACCTTCTATGCAGAGTTGCAAAGAAAAAGCCATATCTCAGACTGCCCATCTTAATCTTTTCTTTTTATTGGCCAGTCTGAGTTTTGGCTTTTTCTTTGCAACTCTGCCTAGAAGGTCGGCATCCCAGAGTTGCCTCTTCACTGTTGACGTTGAGACTGGTGTTTTGCGGGTACTATTTAATGAAGCTGCCAGTTGAGGACCTGTGAGGCGCCTGTTTCTCAAACTAGACACTCTAATGTATTTGTCCTCTTGCTCAGTTGTGCACCGGGGCCTCCCACTCCTTTTTCTATTCTGGTTAGAGCCAGTTTGCGCTGTTCTGTGAAGGGAGTAGTACACAGCGTTGTACGAGATCTTCAGTTTCTTGGCAATTTCTCGCATGGAATAGCCTTCATTTCTCAGAACAAGTTTCAGACTGACGAGTTTCAGAAGAAAGTTATTTGTTTCTGGCCATTTTGAGCCTGTAATCGAACCCACAATTGCGGATGCTCCAGATACTCAACTAGTCTCAAGAAGGCCAGTTTTATTGCTTCTTTAATCAGCACAACAGTTTTTAGCTGTGCTAACATAATTGCAAAAGGGTTTTCTAATGATCAATTAGCCTTTTAAAATGATAAACTTGGATTAGCAAACACAATGTGCCATTGGAACACAGGACTGATGGTTGCTGATAATGGGCCTCTGTACGCCTATGTAGATATTCCATTAAAAATCAGCTGTTTCCAGCTACAATAGCCATTTACAACATTAACAATGTCTACACTGTATTTCTGATCAATTTGATGTTATTTTAATGGACAAAAAAAATGCTTTTCTTTCGAAAACAAGGACATTTCTAAGTGACCCCAAACTTTTGAATGGTAGTGTACTTTTAGAAAATTTTAAGTTATGTGTAAGCAATTAAGCAGATTACTCATGATATGACATTCAGCTTGGGTTCTCCTCCGTTCTCATGCTGTGCCCCCTCCCCTATAGTAATAGAAAACAAATGGGTCATACACAAGCAATTCAAAATAGTGATAATATAATGTATAAAAAATATATATATTTGCAAATTATGTTCTAATTCCGTCCCTGTATGTCTGTCTAATTTACAGCAGATCTCATCTGACTCCACAGCCCTCCCAACCAAATGCAGATCTCATCTGACCCCACAGCCCTCCCAACCAAATGCAGATCTCATCTGACCCCACAGCCCTCCCAACCAAATGCAGATCTCATCTGACCCCACAGCCCTCCCAACCAAATGCAGATCTCATCTGACCCCACAGCCCTCCCAACCAAATGCAGATCTCATCTGACCCCACAGCCCTCCCAACCAAATGGGAATTGGCTACATTACATGAAAAAAAAAAGTTTGCAACGTGATTCTGATTTGAGTCTGACATGAGTCTTTTCTTTCCTCAGTCTCAGCACCATGACGACGAGAAGAGAGCCCTGAGCAGAGAGATCATCGTGCTCAACAACCACCTGATGGAGGCCAAGCTGACCATTGAAAAACTGCAAGAGGACAATGTAAGGGCTAATATGGGCTCTCTCTATCAACACTCTATGAGGTCAGATGTAGAGGTCATCAAAAGTGTAGTCCCAACCCTCAAAGTGTATTGTAGCGAATTTAGCATACAACACCTAGAGCGTCTTCGCCAAGAGGTTTCAAACTCTTTGTGTAATAGCAAAGGTGTTGGACTGACAGACCTGAGTTCAAGTCCCGGGTACTGGCTCCTCTCCTAATTCAATGCTGTGTGTTCTTTAGATTAACTCTTTAAAGCATGTTTTCTTCTGACACAGTGTTACACATTCTGTCCTATAGGACCTGTACAGGAAAGACTGTAACCTAGCCACCCAGCTGCTCCAGTGCAACAAGTCCCATTATAGGACCCAGCTTTCTGAGGTGAGTCCATCAACAGTACTACCAATCAGACCAACTGGGTTCAAATGTACAATTAGCTTTCTATCAAATATTTTGAGCATTTGATAGAGCCCATCTAGATTGCCAGATAGGCAGTTTTTGTACTTCTGCTGCATATAAGCCTCAACATACTGCACTGGCTAAGCTAAAGATTATTTTAATTTTAATTTTATTTCACCTTTATTTAACCAGGTAAGCCAGTTGAGAACAAGTTCTCATTTACAACTGCGACCTGGCCAAGATAAAGCAAATAAGTGCGATAAAAACAACAACAACACAGAGTTACATATGGAATAAACAAAAACAAAACGTACAGTCAATAACGCAATAGAAAATCTATATACAGTGTGCGCAAATGTAGTAAGTTATGGAGGTAAGGCAATAAATAGGCCATAGTGCAAAATAATTACAATTTAGTATTAACACTGGAGTGATAGATGTGCAGAAGATGATGTGCAAATAGAGATACTGGGGTGCAAATGAGCAAAATAAATAACAATGTCAATAACAATAACAATATGGGGATGAGGTAGTTGGGTGGGCTAATTACAAATGGGTTGTGTACAGGTGCAGTGATCAGTAAGGTACTCTGACAACTGATGCTTAAAGTTAGTGAGGGAGATAAGTGTCTCCAGCTTCAGAGATTTTTGCAGTTCGTTCCAGTCATTTGCAGCAGAGAACTGGAAGGAATGGCGGCCAAAGGAGGTGTTGGCTTTGGGGATGACCAGTGAGATATACCTGCTGGAGCGCATACTACGGGTGGGTGTTGCTATGGTGACCAATGAGCGAAGATAAGGCGGGGATTTGCCTAGCAGTGAATTATAGATGACCTGGAGCCAGTGGGTTTGGCGACGAATATGTAGTGAGGGCCAGCCAAAGAGAGCGTACAGGTCACAATGGTGGGTAGTATATGGGGCTTTGGTGACAAAACGGATGGCACTGTGATAGACTACATCCAATTTGCTGAGTAGAGTGTTGGAGGCTATTTTGTAAATGACATCGCCAAAGTCAAGGATCAGTAGGATAGTCAGTTTTACGAGGGCATGTTTAGCAGCATGAGTGAAGGAGGCTTTGTTGCGAAATAGGAAGCCGATTCTAGATTTAACTTTGGATTGGAGATGCTTAATGTGAGTCTGGAAGGAGAGTTTACGGTCTAACCAGACACCTAGGTATTTGTAGTTGTCCACATATTCTAAGTCAGACCCACCGAGAGTAGTGGTTCTAGTCGGGCGGGCGGGTGTGAGCAGAGTTCGATTGAAGAGCATACATTTAGTTTTACTGGCGTTTAAGAGCAGGTGGAGGCCACGGAAGGAGTGTTTTATGGCATTGAAGCTCGTTTGGAGGTTTGTTAACACAGTGTCCAATAATGCTAAGATAAATTGATGGCCTTATGTCTTCCTCAACCCCAGACGTTGGATTGTGTTAGCGAAGCTACACAGGGAGGGAAATTGACTTGCCTTAAAATAAAATAAATAACCCTCTTCCTTTATCTAATCAGCTGAATCCCTCCTGACTTGAGGTATGGGCACGATGTGCAGGGCTGCAAATATTAGCACAAGTCTTGATCCGTTCACATCGATCAATGCAGGAGCCAGGATTACGGGCTAAAACCTGGGCTCTCGACCCGAGCTGATGCAGTTCCAAACAGCCTGAATCATAAGGTGATTACTCCACTGATGGATTGCTAATGAGAGAAAATGTTTGACAGTGATTAACAATGGAACGCTATAGCTACATTATGTGACAGGTGGGTGAGTAATTGATGGAATATAGCGAAGCACTAAGACACTAACCGCTAACTATATGAATAGGGAGATGGAGATTTGAGGGCGCCCAACAGTGCCCATGCTGCTTTTGTTGCCCAGCAGCAGAGGAACAAGTGAGTATTGATCAGTGCGTTAGTGCCAGGGCGGATTGGCAAGGCTTTCCGCTGTATCAGTCCTGGGCCTCATGCATGGCAAGAGTAGATTTCAAAGCTGGCACGTTGCCTATACCGTTAAAAAATGCCTTACCACATTTGGCACCATGAGGCCTGAATGGAAATATCAATGCAAACACGATTCATCAGTTACGTAATAAACTAGTGCTGGGTCCCCTGCGGTGTGTGTGTGTTCATATGTGTGTGTGTGTGTGTGTGTGTGTGTGTGTGTGTACTATATCACAGGAGGTTGGTGGCACCTTAATTGGGGAGGACTGGCTCGTGGTAATGGCTGGAGCGGAATGAGTGGAATGGTATCAAATACATCAAACACACGGTTTCCATGTGTTTGACGCCATTCCATCTGCTCCGTTCCAGCCATTATTATGAGCCGCTATAGTCCTACTTATGTCCTCCAGCCTGTTTATTTGTGGGCTGGACAGTAATCAAAAGGTTATTGATGGAGTGTGGTGCAACATGGTGTTGGAGTATTGAAAACAGAGGATCCAATAACTCTGACCCCTATCTTTTTTAGATTTTTTTTATATTACTATAAAATATTTTTCTCTGAGCAATTGTGTTGGTATAAAATAATTTACATTCTCTTTTTTTTGTGCATAAAATATAGCTCAGTATTTGTATTATTTATTTTATACCGTCTTTATCAGGGGATCTAATAATTGTATGTGTTGACAACTAAATGGCTCATGGTAATTGGGTCTTTAAATCAAAAGTGAAAGTGTGATGCAACTTCCTTAGCCAATGCAGCTATAATTAACTACCTTCTCATTAATGATAGTTGACTAGATTTCTGTTGATAACATTCTGCAATTGGCTTAATTCTTGTTGCTATGGAGAGGTGGCGGCAACAGGTTTGGGAGTACATTTCAGTTTGCATCGAGAGTTGCCCAGAAGAGTAGAACCTGGGTACAAATATCAAACTAATGATCTCATGATGTACACTACCAGTCAAAAGTTTGGACACACCTACTCATTCAAGGGTTTTTCTTAATTTTTTTAGACATTTTTACATTGTAGAATAATAGTGAAGACATCAAAACTATGAAATAACACATATGGAATCATGTAATTACCAAAAAAGTGTTAAAAAAATAAAAATATATTTCAAATAGCAACTGTTTGTCTTGATGACTGCTTTGCACACTCTTGGCATTCTCTCAACCAGCTTCATGAGGTAGTCACCTGGAAGGCATTTCAATTAACAGGTGTCCCTTCTTAAAAGTTAATTTGTGGAATTTCTTTCCTTCTTAATGCGTTTGAGCCAATCATTGTGTTGTGACAAGGTAGGGGGTTATACATAAGATAGCCCAATTTGGTAAAAGACCAAGTCCATATTATTGCAAGAACAGCTCAAATAAGCAATGAGAAACGACAGTCCATCATTACTTTAAGAAATGAAGGTTAGTCAATACTGAAAATGTGTGCAGTCGCAAAAACCATCAATGGCTATGATGAAACTGGCTCTCATCAGGACCGCCACAGGAATGGAAGACCCAGAGTTACCTCTGCTGCAGAGGATAAGTTCATTAGAGTTACCAGCCTCAAAAATTGCAGCCCAAATAAATGCTTCACAGAGTTCAAGTAACAGACACATCTCAACATCAACTGTTCAGAGGGGACTGTGTGAATCAGGCCTTCATGGTCGAATTGCTGCAAAGAAACCACTACTAAAGGACACCAATAAGAAGAAGAGACCTGCTTGGGCCAAGAAACACGAGCAATGGACATTAGACTGATGGAAATGTGTCCTTTGGTCTGGAGTCCAAATTTGAGATTTTTGGTTCCAACCGCCATGTCTTTGTGAGACGCGTTGTGGGTGAACGGATGATCTCTGCATGTGTAGTTCCCACTGTAAAGCATGGAGGAGGAGGTGTTGTGGTTGCTGGCGACACTGTCTGTGATTTATTTAGAATTCAAGGCACACTTAACCAGCAGCCAACAAGTGGTCAGCATATGTGGGAACTCCTTCAAGACTGTTGGAAAAGCATTCCAGGTGAAGCTGGTTGAGAGAATGCTAAGAGTGTGCAAAGCTGTCATCAAGGCAAAGGGTGGCTATTTGAAGAATCTCAAATATAAAATATATTTTGATTAGTTTAACAATTTTTTGGTTACTACATAGTTTTGATGTCTTCACTGTTATTCTACAATAAAAAATTTTTTGGGACTGGTACTGTATGTATTGTTTAGCATCCATGTTTAACTACAGTTCCACCTTTTAACTTCAGGTTATAGTTTAAAGTTTAATTCCCGTCTGTTCTCCATATGGTGCCATTATCAATATGTTGTTACGAATGTGTTAAAATAATGTTTGTAGTTTCTATTTCTTCATTTTTAAAAATATTTCATGAACTTTGCACTAATCTCACCATCTGTCTCTTTATCACAATGTTCTATATCTCTCTCTCTCTTTCTCAGTTGCCTGTTGAATTCCAGGAACGCGTGACCATGCACATGGATGGCTCACCTCTTTGCCACACCGCCTACGCCGACTCCGTCCCCGCCTCTGTTATCGCCAAGGTGCTAGAGAAGCCCGACGAGGCCTGCAGCGGCAGCCAAGCCTCCAGCTCGTCTAGCCCCCAGCCCCAGGACCAACGGTTCCTCCTGGACACCCTGGACAGAGACGAGCGCCTGGGCCTCCGAGCGGCATACAAGTCAGACCTCTACAGCAGCGACACAGCCCTGTACTGCCCGGTCGATCAGAACCGCGAGCGCAGGCCAAGCATGGACGTCCACAGCCAGAGGAAGCTGCTCTACGGCCCCCAGAACTCCATGGACAGTAACCCAGAGGAGGGTCCGTTGTTGGGGCTGAGGTCTGGCTTCTCCCAGGAGTGCTTTGCTAAGTTCCCCACCTCTCTGGGCCCTACCTCAGGGAGCTCCTACTCCAGCTTCAGCGGAGGGGGCTCAGACGACAACAAAGGCAATGGCCCCCCCAGCAGCACAGCCTCCACTCCCCACCACCACTCCCTCTACATGGACTGGAGGGATGGGGGAGACTATGAGAGGAAGAGCAACTCCTCCTGGGAGAGGGACAGTCCCAGCGGGGGCGGCTTCGCCAAGGTCCATGCCGTCTTCCAGCAGGCTGGCGAGCATGGTGGAGCACACCACCAGAACGGCAGCTCGCCCGTCTACAGTCGCACCATGTCCTCGTGCTTCAGCGAGCCCTACGAACCCCTCCCTCCCTCCTCCTCGCCAAGTGTTGCCTACGGAGACAGCCGCCGCGGCAGCACGCTGGCGCCAGAGGAGGAGGAGCTGATTGGCCGCTGGAGGCAGCTGAGCGCGGAGGACATAAACTCCCACTCATACTGCTCGCCCGGCCGGGCCTCGCCCTACAGCTTCTCTGAGCAGCACTTCTCAGTTCAGCCCACCAAGATCCGACTTGGACCCCTCTACAGCAGCTTCCAGGAGGGGGCCGACTACTACCAGGGAGTGGTAGGACCCATCATGGACCCCTCGGTGTGCTTCTCCACGCCCAGCCCCGAGTGCAACCCTGTGGGGGGCCTCCGTCAGTCCCATCAGTCCCACACCCAGCAGGCCCAGCAGACCCATCTCTACCGGGCCAAGGAGGACAGCCAGGAGACGGAGCACAGCCTCTATCACTCAGGGAGCCCCAAGGACAGGGAGGGCAGCTTTGACGTGGAGGGGGCCGCGGGAGGTGGAGAAGCGGGGCAGGCCAAGGAGTACGTGGACATCAGCCCCAACAGCTCCAATGAGTCCCTAAACCAGAGGTCCCTGGAGATGGCTGCCGAGCTGCAGCAGCTCTACCAGTCCGAGATGCAGCCCCCTTCGCCCCCCCAGGGCAGTCCACCACCGCCTCCGCCACCACCTTGTTCCCCTCCACCGCATTACCACAATTTTGGCACATTGGGACTTTCCAGAAAGGACAGTCTCACCAAAGCCCAGCTGTATGGAACACTTCTGAACTGAGAGAAGAAGGGATTATCGTCCTCTGATTTACTGTTCTCTCTCTTTCTCCATCTCTTTCCCTGGTGGGATGTGAGGTGAGAAGTCTTGGTCCAGCAAAACACATTGATTAGTGTGAGGTTAGCCAGTCATTCAGTTGAAGGACATCCATTTTGAAAGGACAGTTGTAAGATACAGGACAGTAATTAAGCATGAATTTATCAGATTGTTGCCACAGCTGTGAAAAACGGACAAACTAGTGGTTCGCATCACTATAATGAATGCATAAGTTTGTCTGGGTCAGGTGAATTGACAATTCATTACTGTGCCAAATTAGTGGGGACTATAGGAAAATCCTTTGCTACATTTGGTACATAAAATAGTCTTTGGAGGTACCAGACACCACAGTTGTTCCATGTGCTGTACACAAAGCACAGTGAGCTTGTAGACAAAGGAAGTATTGAAAGTAACTGTTGAAGTATATATTCCTTTTTTAAATTACAACTACAGAAATGTAATAGAAATGACTACAGTTCAATCAGGTGTGGGCAGCAACACATTGTAAAGATGTCTGGTTAAGAGCATCTGCCAATCAAAGAGAGATTATTGGTGTTCTATTCAATCTGTAAAGATTCTGCGATAGAAATGTAAAGGTAATTTCCGATTGAAACGACATATGCAGCGTTTACCGCGAATGCAGCCTCCGTTAAAGCGGGAACGTTGCCTTTAAATTTCAATCACGCTTTAAAGCTGAACTTCCGTGATGTGGATTGAATAGTCAAGGAAGATTCAGAGGAATATCTAAACTACACGTATAGATTTGTGTATTGTCAATCACAGGCTGAAAAGTGTGCTGCATTTATGCAGAATAAAATATGTATGACCAATGGGGTATCCTGGGTAAATGTTGCAGTACTATACAGTAAAGGGCTTGGTGAATGGGTTAAAGTTACAGTACTATACAGTAAAGGGCTTGGTGAATGGGTTAAAGTTGCAGTACTATACAGTAAAGGGCCTGGTGAATGGGTTAAAGTTGCAGTACTAGGTGTTTTTACAAAAAATACAGATGCCCCTAGGCTGAACCCATTTGAGTGCAGCTCAGTCCACTCGTTCAGTTTTTGCTTTGACAGGATTTTAAAATATCCAGAGCACTTAAAGAGACCATTCGATGTAGGTATTATTTTGTTACCAATGGACTTCTTTTGAGATGTAAACATTTGTCCTACCCGTCAATGTTATTTTTTTCTCTATAACCCTTGGAGAAGTTTTCCTGTCCCTTTCTACATCAGATTCTCATTCCCATACCCCCATCAAGCAACCGCATGCCTGTTACTATCACACCATGATGCATGTTTCTATATTTCTGTTGTGTTTCGTTTAACCTAATAAAGCACAAACTACGCATTTAAATGCTCCAAGGCTGCCTCAACTATTTTAGTGTTGGTGTGTGTGAAAAAAAAGAAGAAGTAATTTAGCTAAAAATATCCCAGATACAATGTCACTGTAATGGTTTTAAAAGCATTCAAATCAAACTGTGTGTGTGCGCACATACACACGTGTAGAGAAATGATCTTTGGATTGTCTACTATTTTGTTCGACTATCTAATTCAAGGCATTAGCCATACCTCCGCATTGACATTCAAAACACACTCCCCCACCGCTCACTCACTCACTCTAGAGCGAAAAGGGAATTACTTGAGCGATAACATCTATCCAGAGGAAGGAGCCACCACAGCATCAACATCATCTGACTGAATCTGAATCTCATTGTCAACTTTATTGTTCCCGTCCATCCTGTCACAGCAGTAGGCAACGAATTTACACTTCAAACACCTCATGAGAGGAAAACTGGATTAGGTAACGCAACACAACCAGTCCCCTATTCCTTTTTCCCACTGCCAAGTGAATGCTGCAGTATGCATGATCTTAGCTGCCTTCACAATTATATACAGCTGCTGAACTAGATACCTGTTCGCTTTTCAAACAACTCCGGGGATATTTCTATAGCACTATAACCAATCATTTTAGCACTCGGTAAAAGCAAATATGACAGTCCAGCTCCCCTTTGATAATCGCTACTGGGAATTAGCTACCCTCCACTTTGACTGTGTGAACTTGTGATTCAGTGAACACAGTACAGTAGATAGAATAGTAGGTTCCTATGGGAACTGGTATACTTAGTTACACATTCATGGAAGACTGCACTTCTCAGTTTCACAGGCACATTGCTCACAGTATTAGCACTCTGCATGCACACATCCAATCACACTCACACTCCATCCACACCTCATTTGCACTTCACACAATTACACGTCCACGCATGCACGCACACACACCCACCCACGCACCCACACACACGCACACGCACACACACACCGAGGTTAATTAAAAACGGTGGAAACTTTACCCACTGACCCCAGTTCCAATGAAACCCCAAACAGTCTCAATCAATCATCCCCCAATTCACTTGATTCCCAGGGCAAGTCTCTCATATGGTCTCTATGCGAGAGTCTGGATCCCAGGTCTCTTAGTGAGTTTTAATCCCCACCATGGTCTCACTCAGGTCCCACAGTCTCTTGGCCGCCTGATCGTCCGTCGCCTTGGGCATCAGCTCCTCCTCCTCGCAGTTAGCGAAGCACTTCCCCACCACGCCCTCCACGTCGGGCGAACACGCCAGGTAGAGTGGCGTCTGAGCGCCCTCCAGTGGGCTCTTGAAGAAGGCCAGCGAGGCCAGGTGGAAGAGAGGTTTGGCCAGGAAGGGGATGTGGATGTGCCTGCCCAGCCTGGTCCTCACGATGCCTGGGGTGAGGGCGTTGACCGTTACCCCGGTGACGCCCTCCTCCTCCAGGCGCCGGGCCAGCTCGTGGGTGAAGAGCAGATTAGCCAGCTTGCTCTGGCTGTAGCAGAAGGCTTTGTTGTAGCTTCTATCACTGTAGTGGCAATAGAAGTAGAAAATATAATTATCCCTCAAGGGGAGAATCATCCATAGAAACACAACAGACATTACACAAGGGTTGTGTTCATTAGGCCCAAACGGAGGAAAACTGACCGAAACAGGGAAGGACTAACTTGAACTATTGTCCAATAATAAACAATAGTTGTTTTGTTTTTTAGTGCAAACCATTTTGCTACAGTCTGCACTAATGAATAGGATCCAGGTAAAAACACAATATACACAACATAACATGAACCAACCGCACCTGTTGAGGTCATCGAACTTGATGCTGCCATACTTGTAGAGCTTGGAGGAAACCACCACGATGCGGCTGGGGGAGGAGCGCTTGAGGAGGTCCAGGAGGAGGTGGGTGAGGAGGAAGTGACCCAGGTGGTTGACCCCCAGCTGCATCTCAAAACCCTCCTTTGTCTTTGTGTAGGGACACTGGTAGATGCCTGCATTGTTGATGAGCACGTTGACTTGTTGTTCTTCCTAACAGGGGCAGACAAGCATGTATGAGACACACATAATGTACCATTAGTGGAGGGGTTTTGCTTAGTGGTGGCTGGATGACTGTGTCATGTTGGTCTCTATATCTCCATTTATCATGTGTAAGAAACTACAATCAATGCAAGTGATTTCAAGTGAAGGAATTTTAATAAGAAAGACCTTGTCTCTAAATGTAATCCCTTTAAAACTGAATTGATGTTGATAGCTTTTGTAAACAAACGCAAACTGACTGTGCACATGTGACTGTTTCAGCACGTTGGACAGCTCACCATGGCTCTTTGAAAGGTAATCTTCATTACAAAACATCACAGCCACTGTATGATGGTCATGGAATGAACGAGACGATACCCTCCAATAGCTCAAACAACAGAATATTCCACTGCATCAGTCTTTTATCTTCGCGGATCCGACATTTACACAATTTTGCCTTATATACAATAGTTATTTAGCCTAGACTGACCCCAATAAAGTTAAGCAAAATGCACATTTACCTTCAGGATCTCCTCGCAAAAGCTCCTCACAGACTGAAGCGAGGCGAGGTCCAGGTGTTTGATCACCACCTCTCCGTGCTCTGGCCCTGCTTGCTTCTTGATCTCCTGCGCTGCTTCCTCCGCCATCTGCTGGTCCCGACAGGCCATGATCACCCGGGCCTGGAGTTTGAGCAGCTCCCCGGCCACGGCCTTCCCTATGCCGCTGTTAGCCCCGGTCACAATTACCGTCTTTCCCCGCATCATATCGGCCGGGTACCGTAGCAACTCGACTGCTTTCTTACGGGGGAACATTCGGCGAACAATTAGCAGTATTCCACCGCCGACAACAGCAGCCACAATAATCGCAGCTGACATTAAAGCGATGACTTTTATGTTTCACTTAAAATATTTATGTAACACAGTGAGCGAGGAAAAGAACAACAACATCCACAAGGCTTTGCAGAATTTTCACATGCTCATGTGCTCATGATACCTCGCTACATAAGGAGTAGTCGCACCCTGCCGGTAGACATTGGTGATGTAATGTAAGGGTCTGTTGTACACTGAATTTAGACTGTATCTACCCATATGTAATACATGTACAGCTTCCTGTAAAGTAGAACCCTTACATATTTCCCCAAATAAGACACAAAACAACCTTTCATGTTCTCACAATTTTATTGTAGAAAACCTCTGATGACCACTGTTCTTCTCAATAACACACATTTGGTGCTCAAAGACCCAAAGTACAAAACATAATCAATCACCAACAACAATAGACTAATAATAATGCACATTCCTAGCAGGCATATGTTCTATCTATCTATTCTGTCTCTATGCTGCAGGGTGAACTTGGCAAGAAAACACTGAAAAGGCCCATAGCGGGTAGCTTGGAAATCAACATGGCAGTTGTGTTCTGCCATGTCTTTACAGGTGCACAAACAAATGACATTATTTTCCAGAGAATGACAAACAGTAGGCCTACCACCCCATCATCTTTCCCTATAGGTCTGTGCTGTATTGTGTAGAGTCAAACCATACGGTGACTTTCATTTAATACACAGTGTACTGTACATTTGGCGTCTTGGAGAGACATGAACAACGAGGAAGGGGACGCCCATGAACCTGCTGTGCATTTCACAGGGAGAAGCTAGCTATACATGTGAATTTCAGTACACAAAATAGAGATATAAACAATATAGAAATACAACAGAACATTCTAAATATCCATCCCTGTGAGTTAGGCCTACAATATGTATTATTTGACACTTTTTTTTTTCTTCTTCTGTAGATGCTGAATAGCGTAAAGGAGACACTACTAGTTGATTAGGGCATGGGTGAACATAGTCGACCGTGTAGGCAGAGGTTGGAAATACAGATAGGGTGAGTCTATCTAAGACTGGGGTTAGTAACAAGGCCGGGGTGAGGGAGCCAATGTGGAAGAGGTCTGGGTGGGGGTGGAGGTGGGTGTGGGTAAGCTCAAGGCTGGGCCTCAGTCTCTGCCTCAGCGCTGGGTTCATCGTAGATGTAGCTCCCTACACCGCCAGTGTTCACCCCTGGAATGGGACAATAGACAGACATCAGAATATGGTGATGAAATATCACAATACACGTAAACCATAGAAATAAGGTGTTTTATCTTTCATGGGGTTAAGAGGAAGAACGTTTTGAGTGAGTGAGCATACCTTTGGGCCCAAACAGGGTGGCGTAGCATGGTTTGTGGCAGTAGGCCTGCCCATCATGCTGAAACAGAATGTAATGAATATAATTTACTGTACTGAGACAGTTCCTGCCACAGCTTTACAGGCCTCTGTATCTATCTATGGACATAGAAATACTGTATATATCTATGGATATAGAAATACCATATCTATCTATGGCCATAGAAATAGAACTACTGCACTACACTGCATTCCCACTGCAATATACACACACTGTGTAGTATAGGGCATATGGACTGTATATATAGTACAAGTCAAAAGTCTGGATACACCTACTCATTCAAAGGTTTTTCATTATTTTTACTATTTTCTACATTGTATAATAATAGTGAAGACATCAAAACTATGTAATAACACATATGGAATCATGTAGTAACCAAAAAAGTGTTAAAGAAATCGAAATATATTTTAGATTTTAGATTCTTCAAAGTAGCCACCCACTGCCTTGATAATAATAATAATAATAATAATAATGACAGCTTTGCACACTCTTGGGATTCTTTAACACTTTTATGGTTACTACATGATTCCATATGTGTTATTTCATAGTTTTGATGTCTTCACTATTATTCTACAATGTAGAAAATAGTAAAAAATAAAGAAAAACCCTGGAATGAGTAGGTGTGTCCAAACTTTTGACTGGTACTGTATACCGTATGTAGATTATGTGTAAATACTTTCTGTCTGTATATTTTGTCTTTTGCTAGCAGCACCACTTCCCTAAGTCAAATTCCGGGAATGTGAAAATGTACCCGCCCGCTTACGGTCTCTCACCTCTGCGTGACTGCCTGGGGCCAAGGTCTTGCTGCATCTCTCACAGCGCAGACAGGGTCGATGCCAGTCCTTCCCCAGGGACGTCACCTTCTCAGCTGCACACACACACACACACACACACACACACACGCAAGCACGCGCACACACACACACACACACACACAGACACACACACACAGACACACACACGCAAGCACGCGCACACACACACATACACAGACACACACACACACACACACAAGCACGCACACACACACACACAGACGCAGACAAACACACACACAGACACAGACACACACACCAATGTCAGACATATCACCATGGAAACAACATTCCTCCACCTCCTGTAGCTAGTCACCATATTCCTCTGGACACCCACTCACATCCACAGAAACGCACACATAAGCGCTACAATATGGCATGGGCAATAACATGCGTACCGAAATACACTGTCTTGCTGCACCTTGGACATTTACTGGGTTCTCCAGAGAAAGTTGAGAAGCTTGCAGCTGTGTCAAAAAGAGATTGAGAAGAATAGGCTTGTTACAACCAGTGGTGAAAATACACTGACTATTACCTTCATATGGGATATAATAACACTACAGTAGCGCTGTTACTCTTTTCTGAGTTCGTCCTTCACTATCTTCCATGTTGCTTACCCTTCACTGGGCCTCTGGCATGAGCTTTCTTCTCCTCAGGTTTGGCCTCTGTTTCCGTGGAAACACTGGCAGGGGTATCGTTGACAGGAGCCTCGTAGACATAAGAGCCAGCACCTCCAATGTTCACACCTACGGAGAGAAACACTTAATTCTGTCCGCATACAAACACATTGACCATAGTTTCCTTTTATAAGTCTCTCTGTAAAAGCATACATTAGGCCTATCTTATAGGCTTACTGTGAATAAATACAACATTTTTTATAAGCACATAAAGCACACATAACTAAATAATTGCCGGCTATAAAGTTGATGAATTTTCACCTTTTGGTCCAAAGAGGGCAGCATAGCACGGCTTGTGGCAGTACGGAGTTCCATCATGCTGTGAACAGAGGGAAAGACAATGTGCAGAAGTATCTGGGAACAAACACATTGGACTGTGTTGGGGTGGATCTTGGTATAACCTTCAGGAAAAATGGCACTATAACATATTATAATTAATCATTTAGCAGATGCTCTTATCCAGAGCGACTAACAGGAGCAATTAGGGTTAAGTGCCTTGCTCAAGGGCACATCGACAGATTTTTCACCTAGTCGGCTCAGGGATTAGAACCAGCGACCTTTCGGTTACTGGCACAACGCTCTTAACCACTAAACTACCTGCCGCCCCTATTGACGTCCATTCTAGCATTGCATGCTACATGACTGACTTGAGTTTAAATGGCTGGTGTAGCTTTGGAGGGATCTTTGAAACATGCAACAAAAAAGAGTGGAAACCAATGGATTTTAGATCCACTGCACACTTCACATGATAACACCCCACACTTTAGTAGCCTACTGTACCATGTATGAAGTTCAATAGAAGCTAATCCTCTCTGTTCGTAACTGGCCTAGGTCCCTGTACGGTACTGTTCGTAACTGGCCTAACCCTCCCAGAGATCTATGGGAACAGAGCCAAAATGGCCTCTTAGTTACTGCTCTCTATTGTACACAACGCCCCCTGCGGTTTCTGACTGTTTCTGTGTGAAAAAAGAGTTCCAAAAGGGTTCTTCCGCTGTCCCATAGGATAACCCTTTTTTTGCTACACGTAGAACCCTTTTTGGTTCCAGGAACCAAATGGAACCCAAAACGGTTCTACCTGGAACCAAAAAGGGTTATTCAAGGTTCTATATAGCACCTATTTTTCTAAGAGTGTAGGCTACTGACTCCTCTTACCTCAGCATGGCCCCCTGGGTTCAGGGTCTTGTTACAACGCTCACATTTCAGACAGAACTTGTGCCAGTCTTTCCCCAGAGATGTCACCTTCTCCGCTGTGGGGAGGAGGGGGGCGGGGTAGATACTGGTTACATTACTGTACAGGAAACTGACATTTGTAGTTGAATTGACACATTTAAATGGACATGTCAATTCAGTATAATTAGCTACAGAGTGAGCTGGTTCAGTAGGAAGGGTTCTTCATAGAACCCAAAAGGACATGTCACTAATGCAAGACACAGTTAAGTCGGAGGCAGTGAGCACTTTGTGCTGTCCTGCAGGGGTTTTTCTCTCACTCCCTCTCTCTCACTCTCTCTCTCTCTCTGTCTGTCTGTCTCTGTTTATCTGTCGGTCTCTCTCGCTCTCTCTCGCTCGCTCTCTGTCTCGCTCTCTCACTCTCTCAGTCTCTCTCTTGTTCTCACCCTCTACTTTTCCCAGCTACACAAGCATAGCATGCACGCACAAACACACACAGAGAGAGAGAGAGAGAGAGAGAGAGAGAGAGAGAGAGAGAGAGAGAGAGAGAGAGAGAGAGAGAGAGAGAGAGAGAGAGAGAGAGAGAGAGAGAGAGAGAGAGAGAGAGAGAGAGAGAGAGAGAGAGGGGAGAGAGAGAGAGAGTAATAGTAAGAGTGAGTAAGCAAGAAAGAGATAAAGACAGGGTGAGAAAGTGAGAAAGAAGGCTGTGGGGTTTGTTCATTCAAAATAATTAAGGGTAATTTGGGGTATTTTGTTTACCCTCTGGTACAATATGTGATTATGTCTCTTCCTGTATCTGTTGATGAGATCCATCCAGTGGCAGTGTGGGAGCAGGACTCTATGGCTGCATCCCAAACGGCACCCTATATATCCCTATGTAGTGCACTACTTTTGACCATGGCACAGGTAGGGCTCTGGTCAAAAGTATTGCACTACATAGGGAATAGGGTGCTTTTTGGGACAGCCTATAACTCTGACAGTCAGAGAGGAGTGAGGATTATTATTATCAGTAGCTTTCAAGGACAGCAACGGGCAACACTAAATTACCCACGAAGTCAGTACACTTTCAGAGATATGGGTGATGACGATTACGCAACGACCCAGATTACAATGTTAAAATGAGAGAGGTGAACTCATGGGGCCTGAATCAAAGACTGGGAGTTACATAACATACATCATCTAAACTCCTGAGGCAGAGGGACTCAGACAGAATATGCAGTACTTCATAATGAGAGTGGAAGAAGACTGAGAGAAGTAAACACTGTCAAGCAGACAGGGACTAAAGGAACTAGGAGCCTAAAGGGGCAGTGTGTAAATAATGGGAACAAACACAAAGAGAGTGACAGGCTACAAAAGTATGGTTCAGAGGGGAAAATTCTAAGGGACCTTTCCATAAGTGAAAGTACTAAGATGCTAGTTTTCAATGTGTCAGACAGCGAGCAGATTTCAAGTAATATTCTACCAGGTATTTATTCAATCATTAATTACCAGATGGAAAACCCAAACCATTGCCCATTTGGGGACTAATTAGGCAAAATAAACAGATGCTTCAAGATGAGTGAAAAGTGTTGCAAGGTTTCCAGAGGTTGCATTCTGACACACTGCCTATCATTCACAAAAAAGAAAGAACATCAGAAGCAAGTACCATCTGCTTTCTGTTTTCAATTCATCAATTAACAAAAAATAGTCTATTATAGTCTAAGAAGAACTATCAAAACTATTATTATTATGTATTTTTTTTACCATGGTGTATAGGGGCTTCCTTTTACAGGGGAGTGGGATAGAAATGTAAGATACTAGATTGAATCATTAACAGTTTCAACATAGCTAAACCAACGGGTCTGGATTGGCCATATGAGACAACATGTTGAATCTGCTTTTCTTTTAAAGTGTCTTAGACTTTACACGCACGCTCTGTCATTTTAAGGGTGCGGTTTGGCCGGAAGGCTCACGCGCTGCTCCACTCCATTTAATTATTTCGGAGGCTGGGAGCTGTCAATGACAGTTAGTGCTGAAATGGGAATCCTATTGTTATCCAGAGATAGAACAGGGCAAAGTCTATCCATCACACATATGCTACGAATTAATAATGTATATGCAAGGGCCTATCTATCTGCGCAGCAACATTAAGAGCCTTTACCGTATTAATTGGCTTAGCTCAATCTCTTTATTTTGCCACGCAGCTAGGCTAAAGGCTATCTCAAATCGTTTAAAACTACGAACACATTCCCTGAATAGGCCTACTGTAAACAAGCTAATCTGGGACAGATGTTTTTACTTTATATCCCTCCAAAAACCCAACAGGTCAGCTGCAGGTAAATGGTGTGCGCCCTTACCCGTCTGCTCCGCTGGCGTTTTATTGGACTGATTTGACGAATATGTTCTCTGTTCAAACCGATGTATAGCCACTAGCTACATGAGGTCATACAGTAGGTTTCCCATATGACCTCATTAAATAATAAATGATCACACCTGAAAGGGCATGGCTTTGGTTTGTCAATCAACACAAAGACTGCACATGTAGGCTATACCACACATAACTTCCGAAGTCATTTACAGTTAGGGACCCGGCCTAATTGGTTTAGTCTCTATAGGCACGCTAGGCTGACCCATACCTATAGTAAATAGCCTACTACTGGTTCATTCTGATCAAATATATCAATGGCAGTACAACTGCCTATTAGGCCTTCCTCCAATCTATAGGCTAATAGGCTTCCTGTATAATTAGAACGTTACAACAGTTGGCTCAGATAAACTCTATTTTAGACAAAATAACGGTGTCTACAATAGTCATTACATAGCTGACTCGGGGTTTGTGGGAGGTGGGGGGGGGGGTTATTGGGTCGCATGGAAGGACATGCATGATCATATGAAAAATGCACTTACCAAAATAAACCGTCTTGTCGCATTTAGGACATTTCGATGCCATGTTAATTATATTCTGGACTAATGCCTCCTAGGGAATATGATATCCTTTTTCTTTTAAATTCAGCAATTTCAATCGGCTATTTCCAAGCTAGATTTCATTGATGGGCAAGTGGAAACAGCAGACAGCATCCTCCTTACATTATTCTGCGAAATTTACACAGCCCCTCCTTTACGCTGACGTTACGCTGCTGATTCTGGCCCCGTCCCAATACCATATATTGCTCCCTTGGCCACTGCACCGCAGACTTGAACCTAGTCCATTTAATTTAACATAAATGTAAATTTGAACCAAATAATACCTAGTAGCAGTAGTATATCTGTGCTTATTTATATTTGCGAGCTAATTAAATGTGACAGCAGGCTTAGGCTTACAGTGAATACGTTCAATGAGAGACAATGTAATCACTTGTATATCAGGTGTCCCTATATTTGAACTTGACTAATCACTTTGGATGCTAACGGGACTGTTCAACTACTCTCGCACTTCATCTTTCAACAGACATCATGTTTGTTTCCACTTTGTGTGGTTGTTAGGATACGCTCTCCTACCTCTGTGCTACTCAGACAGAATGTTAAGTGATGCTCTTACAAGTCTCTAGGATATTGAGTTGAGGGGAAAGATTAATACATTTTCGAAAAATTCAGAGGTTCAGCTAAGGCTATTAGGCATGACCAATGAGACAAGCCTCATAAGAGGACTTTAGTCCACCTCATTATTCTCAACGATTTACATTTTGACTCTTGATTTGATTCCAAGAGAAATAGCCGTCCATTAAAATCCCACTAATGCATGCTCTATTTTTATAATAAGATAAACACACATAAACAGCATCAACGTAAATGGAAACGGTGTTGCTATTTTCCACAGAAGCTCGCTTGCTTTCCCTCTGGAGCCTGGGAATGCACTAATCTTAAAATAAACACTTCCAGAATGGTCTGTCCAGAACCAAAGTTTTGGCTCAGAAACCAAGAATGGGTGTAACTGGTCTGTTTGGGAAATGTTGGTCTCCATAGCAAACGATCAGACCTCACCCGAGCTCCATTCCCCAGTCTCTGTAGAGTAGAGACTGATCTCCCTCATGGTCCTGTCTCTACTAATTAGTCTGCCATGCACTCTATATTACACCACACCTTCACAATAACAGTGTCCCTATGTGGTGTTACATGTGTTAGTCTTACAAATACTACTAGTCCAGTGTTGCCCCTTTCCCCTTGGTGAGAACTTGGCAGAGCAAACAGCACCCGTAGTCCTACAACTGAGCTTATCAACCAGACCCTCTCATCCTCTATTTTAACTGGGGACATGACATGTCAACCTCTGAGTGCAGAGGAGGTTCTTATCTCTCTGGTGATACGGGAGAACCCTGCCATGATGGCCTTTCATGGGCCTCCATCCTGCACTAGTTACAGTCCAAACAACAGACAGGACTGATACAGACAGGCTGGGGGAGACGGAGACTCCCAAGTAAATATGGAACCCCCTGTAAAGAAACAGTGTAGACTTGCAGGAAAATTGTTTTAAAAATACAATAATTTCCAGAGGGAGGTCACCTCATCTTTTGCACCCTCACTTTCAGACAGTCAGGTGCCCATGGATGGAGTGATGGGGTCTAGACAGAGAGAGAGAGGGAGAGGGAGACAGAGAGATGATAAGCAGGGTATAATTAATATGTGATGGGTTGCTGCTGCTGTCTATTTGACAGTCTCACCACATCACAATAGCACGTCTGCTGTGTTTCATTTGAAAGAACGTCATTTGTTTTCTATTTTGTCTTTATTAGAAATGCATCAGCACCTGAACAGCCCTAAAAAGAGGGCATCATAGTATGGAACCAGTGCAGTGTGGTTAGAGATACTTTTGAGGAGATGGGAAACTACATTGAGATCGAATTAAAGCCCATTGTGTACGTTGCCCAAGTGTCGTCATTGGGCAGTGCAGTGCATTCTGGGCGATTCTGGGACAAGGAGATCTCCTCCAAGGAGTGAATGAGAGTAAATTGGGCGCTGGCTCAAAAACCCAACATTAGCATTAATTTCGTGAACAAAAAGTACAACATTACAAATATTTTCCGAGATGTGAGATAATGAACTTGTTCTCTGTAATATCATATTGCTTTGGAATCGTGACAGGAAAATAGGCAGGTTTTCGACTCATACCCTGATTTTCAGAAGGGATTGCGTGACGATTAGCTTAGCAACCGCGTGACGCGGCTTGACAACGTGAATACGATTGGTCGACAGTCTGCTGGGTGGGGCGTTATACGTTCCTTCATTAATTGCCAAATGGTATCGCTAACTCCTCCTTTCTCAAATATCTCAGGTGTGGTTATCACAGCCCCTTATGCCAATTTGACAAAAATGCAAAGCGAAGTGAAGGTAAAAACTTTTTCTGTCACACACTGCTGTCAAGGCAACAAAACACATGTAGCTAGCTAGCTAGTAGAACAGTAAAAATAGATGAAAACATGTTGCAAATGTGGAATGTCTTATATTTTAGACATTTGTTTGCACGAGCAAATAGTAACTTGTAGCCTAGCGTTTGCACATTTGCCAAAGTTAGTTCAAATTAGTCAGCTAGTTAAATAGTTTGTTTTCATTTTGTGGCTAGCTAGTAAGCCTTTTACTCTTCCTCTCCTCCAATAATATATTTTCTGAGTATTAGCTAGCTAGTTAGCCAATATGGTAAGTAAAAAGCAGGTGTGTCACTCGAAGTATGCGAACGGCTCAAGCGCCAAACAAATCTAAACTTGCCAGGTAGCTGACAGCCCATGTACGCTACTGCCGGTGCCGTGCGGTGAAACACAGATTCCCATAAATGTTCAATGGAAGAGAAGCGGAGTGGGCGGGGGACCTTTGGCCGGCGCGAACCTGGTGTGGGAGGCGGTGAAAAAGTTCAGTATTTCCCCACTTTATGCAAATCACCAGCGGCGACCGCTGGGTGACGACCAATCATATTGAGTGGTTCCCATGACGAATTTGACGCTATGCAACCCAACACTGGAGACTTTCTTTAGCAAAGATGGCTGACAAAAATACTAGGATGGAAGCAAATGTAAGTAATTATAACGTCATAACGAATCATGCAAAAAATGTACAGTTGAGAGGAATATGTTAGTTAATGTAGAGACAAACGATTATGCATATTATTTTGTCATACAGTTAATTTATGAAAATCGCTATTTTAGCAAGCTAGCTGACTAGCTAACATTAGCGAGCTAGCTAGCTAGCTAGCTTTATGGGCGTTGTGACATGAGTATGAAATTGTAATTCGTGTTGTTTAATGTTTTAGGGACTCCTGAGAAAACCAGAAAACCAGGCTGTCGTCTTGTGAAACAGTATTTGTTTTTGTATTTGTTATGGATCCCCATTAGCTGCTGCCAAGGCAACAGCTACTCTTCCTGGGGTCCAGCAAAATTAAGGCAGTTCATACAATTTTTAAAACATTACAATACATTCACAGATTTCACAACACACTGTGTGCCCTCAGGCCCCTACTCCACCACTACCACATATCTACAGTACAAAGTCCATGTGTACGTGTGTGTATAGTGCGTATGTTATCGTGTGTGTGTATGCATGTGTCTGTGCCTATGTTTGTGTTGCTTCACAGTCCCCGCTGCTTCATAAGGTGTTTTTTTATCTGTTTTTTTTAAATCTAATTTTACTACTTGCATTAGTTACTTGATGTGGAATAGAGTTCCATGTAGTTATGGCTCTATGTAGTACTGTGCGGCTCCCATAGTCGGTTCTGGACTTGGGGACTCTGAAGAGACCTCTGGTGGCATGTCTTGTGGGGTATGCATGGGTGTCCGAGCTGTGCGCCAGTAGTTCAAACAGACAGCTCGGTGCATTCAACATGTCAATACCTCTCATAAATACAAGTAGTGATGAAGTCGATCTCTCCTCCACTTTGAGCCAGGAGAGATTGAAATGCATATTTTTAATATTAGCTCTCTGTGTACATCCAAGGGCCAGCCGTGCTGCCCTGTTCTGAGCCAATTGCAATTTTCCTAAGTCCCTCTTTGTGGCACCTGACCACACGACTGAAGAGTAGTCCAGGTGTGACAAAACTAGGGCCTGTAGGACCTGCCTTGTTGATAGTGCTGTTAAGAAGGTAGAGCAGCGCTTTATTATGGACATACTTCTCCCCATCTTAGCTACTGTTGTATCAATATGTTTTGACCATGACAGTTTACAATCCATGGTTACTCCAAGCAGTTTAGTCACCACAACTTGCTCAATTTCCACATTATTTATTACAATATTTAGTTGAGGGTTTAGTGAATGATTTGTCCCAAATGCAAGGCTTTTAGTTGTATAAATATTTTGGACGAACTTATTCCTTGCCACACACTCTGAAACTAACTGCAACTCTTTGTTAAGTGTTGCAGTCATTTCAGTCGCTGTAGTAGCTGACGTATAGTGTTGAGTCATCCGCATACATAGACACTCTGGCTTTACTCAAAGCCAGTGGCATGTCATTAGTAAAGATTGAAAAAAGTAATGGGCCTAGACAGCTGCCCTGTGGAATTCCTGATTCTACCTGGATTATGTTGGAGAGGCTTCTATTAAAGAACACCCTCTGTGTTCTGTTAGACAGGTAACTCTGTATCCACAATATTTTATTTAATTTTTTTATTTCACCTTTATTTAACCAGGTAAGCCAGTTGAGAACAAGTTCTCATTTACAACTGCGACCTGGCCAAGATAAAGCAAAGCAGTGCGATAAAAACAACAACACAGAGTTACATATGGGGTAAAACAAAACAAAGTCAAAAATACAACAGAAAATATATATATACAGTGTGTGCAAATGTAGCAAGTTATGTAGGTAAGGCAATAAATAGGCTATAGTGCAAAATAATTACAATTAATATTAACACTGGAATGATAGATGTGCAAGAGATGATGTGCAAATAGAGATACTGGGGTGCAAATTAGCAAAATAAATAACAATATGGGGATGAGGTAGGGTGGGCTAATTTCAGGTGGGCTGTGTACAGGTGCAGTGATCGGTAAGGTGCTCTGACAACTGATGCTTAAAGTTAGTGAGGGAGATAAGAGTCTCCAGCTTCAGAGATTTTTGCAATTCGTTCCAGTCATTGGCAGCAGAGAACTGGAAGGAATGGCGGCCAAAGGAGGTGTTGGCTTTGGGGATGACCA